ATGTGATCTTTCACCTGGGTTTACTTACAATATGATGATCTTGGGGTTCCAAGAGGGCAAAACTGGAAGCTGCAAGGTTTAAGGTCTTACTCAGATGTCATATAATGTCAACCACATTTTATTAGTCAAAACAAGTCACATTACTGCCCAGATTCAAGAGGTAGGCAAAGATTTCCCTCTGGATGGAAGGAACTGTAGAGAATGTTGATCTACCATTTTTTATCTACCATATGTCTTTTAAGGTTCTTGCAGTTGTAGTATTCTAATTAGTTTTTTGTATTTTTCCTTCAAAGTGCAGTGCGTTAGCTCTTTCCTTTGCTATATATGTATATATATATATAATATATACATACAATATAATATGTATTCCCCAGTGTCTATTGTATCTTGGATAATATTCCAAAAAGAAAAGTTAGCTTTGCAGAGGAATGCCCACTGTGTCCTACTTTGGTCTTGGAGCTGTCATATTATTTTGATTATTTCTTATATTAAAAAGCGTATTAAAAGTATCATGAATCCATACTGTTTCCTTTATACATTCTATCCTCTGTAAGTAGCCTCTTCCTTTCTGTTCAATTTGTGTGCTTTTCTGAGTAGCAAGATGAAATCTTGCACTGTCCTATTCTGTCCTGCTCAGAATGTGAATCTTCCCCTTGTCCAGCGTCTCCACACTGTCTATGCTCCTCCACCCCTGTTAGTCACTTTAGTGAACCATCTTGGTTTTCAGATAGGTTGTCAGAGAAACCATATTCACATGACTTTAATACAGTATATTGTTATAATTGTTCTATTATTAGTTATTGTTGTTAATCTCTTACTATGCCTAATTTATAAATTAAACTTTATTATAGGTATGTATGTGTAGGAAAAAACATAGTATATATAGGATTCAGTACCATCCACAATTTCAGGCACCCACTGAGAGTCTTGGAACATATACCCCACAGATAAGGGTGGGACTAATATAGAAAGATGATCAGTCTTGCTTTTCCCCTTGGTAGCTCTCCACGCCCCCACCCCACCATGCTAGGTTGTACTCATTTCTTGAGGTTTTGTTATTTTCAGGATCACAAATGCAAACTATCAGAGCATGAAACCAACATTTATTTACTTAGCTGACTTCTCTCACAACTTGCCATATATATTTGGAAGTCTAAAATCAGTCCCCACAGGAGCTGACCCTGTGTGTTCCATTGTTTTTCAAGTTTCACTGGCCACAAAGGGGAACTGAATATGAACATGCATGCAAACCTCATCAGTTTCCTTTGCAACCAGCTGAAAGTTATTTTTTTAATATAGAGGAAACAGTGTTTTTCTTTTGAGCACAAATTGAATTTCCACAGATATGAAGCATTTTATGCTTCTGACAGATCAGGAGACACAAAAGAAGAGGGCACTAAATTGTGAGAAAGGCAATTAAAAGAGAAATTAGGATAACAAAGAAACAAAACTGAATTGGGGAAGAGAAAGAGGTACTGCTGAGTGCAGGAAAGGAAAAGGGCGTAGGTGGGGGTTATGGGGGATACTAGAAAGTCTTGGCAAGTAATAGAACATGAGAAGAGGCAGGAGATGTCTGTAACAGGAAAGCACCTATACCAGAATTGCCAGCGATATTAATGGAAGGCATTAAGATCTTTTGGTCCAAAAGTTTGCCACTGGGTAGAACGTGAAAATAAAACACATCAGAGTGATTACCATTCCCACCTGAGTTCATGCTATTGAGCCAAGTTGACAGCAAAGGTGCCTTGTCCCCATTTCAGGATGCAATGTGGTGACTTGTTCGACCACTCTGATTACACAGAACAAAAGCAAGGGTAAGTAAGAAAGCAAAGAAACCTGAATACCTAATATAAATGTCACAAGGCCCCCAGAATCCATCAACTTATTTTAGTTATAGTTTAAACAATCTCTCTAGCAGTGAATACTAAAGAATGCCTACTATGTGCTGAGCAAGGGACATTGGACAAAATCACTACAAAAGAAGATTCAGGGAAACTGCTTGGGGAACATGGACCATAAAGCAAGCAGCCTCCTTCCCCTCAGCTGCACATATCTGAGTAGACCTGAGGGCATTACTGTATTGGCACATGATTGCAGGCAGCCTCTAGTTGCCACTCATTATTAAGGCATTGAACATTCTATAAAAACCAAAACTTCTATTAAAGGGATATGAAGGACACCTAATCCAAACTTTGTTAAATATTTGAAATGCTTTGCTACCTTCCCAGCCTGCTGGAGATTCATATCATATTGAGACAGTTCTATTAGCAAATAACTCACTGGCTTTCTACTCCATTTGAGATCTGTAATTATTAGAAAACCCTCTCTTAAAATTTGGTGAAACACACTGCTTGCAACTCCCATCGTTCACTGATCTTTCTGCTTTCTCTGCGAGGCCGCACACACACACTCATGCTCTGTCTTTCCTTATCTTCTGCTTTAAGGGTTAAATAATCCCATTCTTTTGACTGTCCTTCCTCTGGCATCCTGTAGGGTGCTTGCTCTGAAGAGTATTGTTCTGACCACAAAATAGAATGGGTTTGTTACCATTCCTGTCATAAACATTGCTGTTATTAATGAAAGCTAAAGCTAATTTACCCTTTATGAGTTACTTTCCCCCACTTCCTTTGATCCAGATCAGCTTCCCCTATTTATCTTCCTAGTTTTGATGTTTACCTTTAAGCTTCTGGCCATCCCATTTTATGTATTTCCCCTGCCTATTCTGCCGGTAAACAAAATCTGTTATGAGCTTATAGGCAGGTTGATGTTTATCAAAATTTATCTTATCACAAATATCATAACAAGAATTAGCTCAGTGAACTTTTTAATTTTTTTAAGAATGCCATTGTACAGGGCTCTATAGGGATCATCTCAGTTAATAAAATTATGAGACAGCTTCTAGAACTATGAGTATATTTTTTTCTTTTACTATTCCATAAAACTAATGATAATGATAATGTAATGTAACCATGCAAACTGTATGTTTACAATAAAGACATGTAGGGATATAAATATTTACCAGTAATGTAAAAAAAAATTTCGATTTTGAGAACATGAGGGAAAATCAGTGTTATATTTAAAATATAAACAAGTACTGAATTTCAGTTAGGTGATATCTGTCAACAATGTCAAAGCAAGATAATCAATATAAATTTTATTACTTTTTTCCGAGCCTCTAATTTTTCTGCAAATTTCCATTTTCTCAAATATTTCTTGTTTTTCTTTAATGTAATTCTGCTTTAACCTATTCTTTATTTGACCAGTTGTATGGACTTATTGAAATACAGCTAACTGAGCACTAATTGTATACAAAACTCATTAAAATAAATTCAGCCCTAACAATATTCATACTCTTGAATAGTGATGTCTCAGTCAGTGGTCTACCTAAAGTTTGAAGAAGTATTCTGACTATAAATAATTCTCATACTCTGTGACAGAAACTTATGAATGGATCCTTGGAGTTTGTCATAACATGCTTTTACATATTTAGTCAGTGGCATCCTGGTTCTATGTGTGACCAAAGAACAAATGCCAGCCAAACTTGAGAATGGTTGCCTTAATAACATCTCCTGATTACAGTTGTATGATGTCTAGACACATTAGCTAGGAAAGAAAAAATGAAATATACCCACTTTTTCAATTCTGTTAAGTATCCCTTCCCTCCCTCTTTTCTGTCTCATTCAGCCATCCATTTATTCACTCATTCATTCAATTATTCACTGGATATGTGTTGATGATCTGCTGTGTGCCAGGCAAGGCACTGAACTCTGGGGAATCAGTGATAAATAAGATCCCTTTCTCTTAGCACTTACTCTCCAATTATTTTTGAACATACATGAAAATTTCAGAATTTGTTCCTTTTAATTCTAACCTACAGGTTTTCTTTATTATTGTGAAACATTTCAAATACTTAAATATACCAAAAATAATATAACAAATACCCATGTACTACCACATAGGTTTAACAGACATTAACATTTTGCCATGTTTGCCTCAAATCTCTCCAGATATAACCACAGACTTTCAGTTGGTATGCATATTGTGTATATTACCATGCATGCTTTTTATTTTTATTGCACATCTACAGATCCATAAAGAAGATGGTACTGTTTTATGTATTTTTATATTTTACATAAATGATTTCATATGTTACCCTTTTGCAGTTTGTTTGTTTTTTATTCAACATTGTTTTTGAGAATTCTCCATGTTGATGCATGCAGCTGTGGTTCATTTCATGGAAATGCTGCATAGTACTCATTTTGTGAATAAACCACCGTTTATTTCCTTATTCCTTTGTTAATGCATACTCACTTAGGTTGTTTCTAGTTGATTAGTATTATGAACAGTTTTCTTATATACATGTTCGAGTGGTTCTGTAAGATGTATGCCTAGTAGTGGACTTTCTGGGTCATAGGATGAGTACGTCTTCAATTTCGCTCTATCAAAGTATAGTTCAAGATGGCTAAACCATTTATAAAACTGTTTTAAGTAAGGTGCAGTTTTAAGTCCTGTTGCTAGGCTATTGAATTCTTATCTTATCTGTTGTTTGATTTCACTGCGCAGTATTTAAATTCTTTCCATTTTATCTAGGCAATGATAGATAGTAAGTGACTTCATTTTTTTTAGGATTTTATTATCATTTCATCTGTTATAGAGGTTTAGGCCTCAATGAATATAGTGGCAAATTTACAAGCTTTTTAAATAACAATCAACATATATTTTCTGACATTTTAAGCCGGTTCTCAAATCATTTAGGTTACTTTTAAACACTTTAAATTAGTATCAGGTGCTTGATTTTGTGTAACTAGTGACTTGAGAAACTATGACATTTCCTTTAATTATTCTGTTAAAGCCATACATTTCACTTAACTTTATGATCTATGTCAAGAATGTTAGCTTAACAATATATTTTGAAAAGATTTTACAAACAAATTTAAAATCTAGCCATGAGTGTAAGCTTTTCTTTTTCTTGAAATATTTTACAATTAAGCAAATGAAATATCAAAAGTAAGAAAAGAGCTTTGAGAAGATGTGAGCTTTGTAAATGCTAGAGCTTTGTTTTGTAATTTTTAGTTCTTCAAGGAATTGAGAGGCTTTTAATATGTTCGCTGCAAATGCTTTAAGAAGTAGGCTGAATTTTGGCTGCAGCAGATGCATCATTCAGGGAGTATCCTGGTTTAAATTCTGAAGTGCTTTCACTCCTGCTAGATTCCCCTTGAAATCTTCTAGAAAGAAGTTGGCACATTATTTTGCGGATATTACTAGACATCAGGAAATACATGACTGGATCTAAGCAGCTATTGAAAGATGAGAAAACCAGCATGATCTCATTGGTTTTGTGAACGATTTCCTTCCAATAACAAGATGACACATTTAGCTGTAAAGAAATATAGACAAATCGGAAGGCATGATAGGGAACAAAACATGTAGTAAAAATGATAAGCACAATAAAAGAATTTCGGGCTGTAGTGGCATATTTACCAGAATTAGGAAATTTTGACCTCCTTTTAGAAATCCTCAATAGATTCTTGCCAATCTTAATATATGAAAGGATTATTAGTAGGAAAATTAGCCAGAACATTACCACAAGAATCAAATTAAAAATTGCTTCTCCTTTTGCATTATGCTTATCTCTATAATGGAAACACATTGTGGAATTATGGCCACCTTTCTTAAGAGTTAAAATAATCATAGTTAAAAATCCAGCAAGAGCAATTGTCCATACTGCACAGCAAACATAAACACTTTGTTTGGTTGCTATTGCCTTCCGTTGTTGTATAGACCGATTAATTTTTATGTAGCGATCCAAACTGATGAATCCAAGCAAAATAATGCTAATATACATGTTCATATAAAATAGTGTTCCCACAACCTTGCAAAGAATCACACCTAGTGTCCACTTGTTTTGGTTAATATGATACATTATTCGGAAAGGGAGGCAGAAGATAAGTAAGAGGTCTGCAATGGCTACATTAAGGAGGTAAATCTGAATGGAATTTCTTTTGCGGTGGATACCCAGAAATACATAGAGGGCAATTATGTTTCCAACCAGTCCCACAATGAAAATAACAGAGTAAAATGCTATTAACACGCTAGAGAGTACTTTTTCATCCATGGGACAGGCAGTAAAATTTGATGCTCCTGAGAAGTTGTATGGCAGTTGGACATTCTGATTAGTTACAAAGTGCTCTTCCTGGGAGGAGCAGGGCCAGCTGCTGACCGAAGTAGTCATCATTGTTATGGTGTGACTTCTCATCATCTTCTGTAGGGATCAAAAAGTGAAGGTGCCAAATGACATGTCCCTCGTGTGTAGCTTTTATAAGATCTTCAGATTTTTCCTACAACAGAATGCCAAACATTGAATCATTTCCTATTTTAATAACAGTTTAACTCCTAACATAAATAATAAATGATTTCTTTTCAGACATCATGAGAAAGTTTACTTTTATCTTACTTTGGACCATTTGAGTATCTACAATATGTTTGTAGCAGCGTTATGGTTTTACAAAACAAGCAGCAAATATAATAGAATCTTATGGGTTGTCCTGCTCTAACCTTTCCTATGGCTATGATAGATGTTCAAGGTTTGTTTTATTTATTACATTACAATAAATAACTGAACTATGAAATCATCTTCCCTTAGGGAGATTGTTATGGGAATAGAAATGGAAGCGAAGAGAAATGACAACTCGTATTTTTCAAAGATGAGCATCAATTTCCCTAAAGGTTGTTATAGCCGTAAGTGAATGGGGCCCACTTCTGGCCCCTGCCCAGCTTCCTGCCTCGAATCCTTCCCTCATATGTAGCATTCATTCATTCATTTTGACATATGTTGCCACTTGGCATGTGACAGGTAAACTATAGCAATCTCTCATTCCATGGTAGGAATAGATGAAAGAGTCCTAAATTTCTTCCTTTTCAACCTAAGACCAAGTTGGGCATATTAAAACCATTTGCCTACAGGGGCATGCAATTAACATAACATGCCAAGAAAGCATAGCACCTTCATTGTTAGGCAGACTCTTATAACACTGCACAGGAGAGCAAAGAAGCCAAACAAAACCAAGTTAGTTGACAACACCGCCACCGACTCAGGTCAGAAAGTCTCCTGACCTAGAAGCATAGAGTGATAATGTAGCTGGGAAACAGATGTGCATCCAAGATTTTGAAAGTAACTATGCCTTGAGATAATTTGAGACTAGAACCTTATAAGAAGATAGTGTGTGAATTCCACTTGTTTGTGGAGAATTTTAGCAATGCTACTTGTTATTAGCTCTTTCCTGGGCATTGCCTGCTATGAAGAGCTCAGTCTGGGAGGTCATCATAAAGAACTAGAAGATGTGAGGAGAAGGTTCCAGGAAGTCACATTCTTTTCTTAGAGCGACTGCCCTTTTTCTCTGCAGCAGCCTCTTAGCAGGTGTAACATAAAGACATTCAGAGCAAGGTTATCAGAATCAGATGTAACTAACTCTGTGACCTTGGGCAAACAATTTAATCTCTTCTAAGCCTCAGTTTTCTTGTTCGTAGAAATTAAAAATGTATATGAAGGACTTAAGTCTGGCACATAAGTTGTCAATCAAAGTTAGCTTTTTAAAAAACAACTTTTGATTAATCTCATTTTAGTAAATATTTCATACCTGGCTAAAGACTGCTTGGAAAACAAAGGTGAAACAACGTAGAGACGCTGCTCTTGGTAGACATTTTTGTAGCCATGTGCATTCAAACTCTGAATGCAGTAATATAAAGTAGATCCAAATTATAGTAATTGATTTACTGATTTGACATTATACACAAAGAAAAATATTTGGAAGAACTTAGCTTTTCTTAACTCTACCTATAATTTGATCAAGTCGGTAGAGGGTGAAAATTAGTTTTAAAACTTTGTAACGAGAGAAAATTGTTGTTACCAGAGAAGAGGAACTGGTGAAGAGGAAGTTATGTAATCCTTGGTAAGAGTCTTTCTCCAGAGTTCAGGGCAGTGAAGGGAAGAAGGTAGGAGGACAGAGTCTAGTCTGCCATGTGCCTCAACTGCAGGAAGACAGATTTCATAAAGTTGATAGAAACTTTCAGGCATTTTTTTGTGTGTTATGAAATTCTAAAAGGAAAGGACAATCTAGGAAGAACGGCAGGCTGCCAGAAATGAAGCTGATAATGCATTGGGGATTAGTAGAAAGGTGAAGGGCACCTGTAGAGGGACTTGCATTGTATGGTTACAGAGGGAGCTGGCAGAGACGCAGGTGGAATCATCTCATAGCCACTGATGACAGGGATCTGAGGCATGATAAGCGATGTGATTTGGAGACTTCAGATAGCTGAAATGACTTTAAAAACTAGGGGTTTTTTTCTTCTCCCATACTGTATTTTAAACTCCATTAGGGTTAGGAACCAAATCTATTTTGTTTGCCTCTGTGTATCAAGGGTTTAGCACAATAAATGTTGAATGAAAGAGGGAATTTAGTAGAAAAGTCTAAAGTTCTACATGTGGACAGTAAAATCAACTGTTCAAGTATAGGCAGGCTTTAGCTTCATTAACAGAAACACAATCGCAATTGACTACAGTTGCCATATCTGTAGTGTGATGTGGCAGCAACAAAAACTAACCCCTTCTTTGGCCAGATTCATAGATACAGCTTGTCTTGATGAAAATTATTATTGCTAATCTGGTTCTGACCCAAACTGGTCAGGTTCCACCTGGAATACAGTGTTTAATCCCCAGCAGCACACTTAGAATAGGCCACGGAGCCAATGGGGAAGAGAGGCCAAATCATGTCATAGGAGTGGGTTGAAGGAAATAGGCACCTTACACTGGAGATGTGAATGCTTTACAAGGCCTTGTGAGTGTCTTCAGAAAGCAGAACAACCATTGAGTAGAAATTGCAGAGACAGATGTTGCCTCCTTTTAAGGAAATGCTTTTTTAGAATGAAACAGTCTATCTTGGGAAGTATTAAAGGTCTTACCACCAGAGATTGTTAAGACTACCACCAACTGAGTACTTTGTAGAAGACATTCTCAGTGGTTCTCAATCCTGGCTCCATACTAGAATCCCCTTGATAGCTTTTTAAAGATACCAATGCCTGGCTTCATCCCCAGATCTTCTGATTTAATTGGTCTGGAATGGGCTCCAGGCAATGGTTTCCTTTAAAAGCTCCTCAGGAGATTCTAATGTGCATTCAGAATTGAACCCTTGAGCTAGATAGCTGAACCATTAACTAATATTTATGTAGCATTTGCTGTGTACCAGGCAATGTGTTCAGCATATTTATGTTATTCATTTACATAATCCTCATAATAACTATGTGAGGCAGATATTACAAAAGAAGTCATGAAAGATCAAGAGGTTATGATCTTTACCCATGACCACACAGCTCTTAAATGGCAGTACCCAAGTTGGGACTCAGATCTGTCTAGCTTTTAGAGCCCATGATCCTTTTCACCAAACCTCATTCTTAATCACGTATGAACAGCATTTTCTTAACTAATGGTGAGTGTTTTCACATGATTCCTTTAACGTTATCCACATTAGCAATTTTAAGAAGGGATTATGCCATCTAGCTTTACATGGAAAAGGCATTAATCTTTTTATTTGCTATGTCCATTATAGTAAGTAAATAAGTACAGAGTTTACGGAATCACAAATCATTCGTCAGAATGTTCGGCACTTTTCCCAGAGTATATCTTTTCCGACTTACTTCTAGGCCTGGGAGTTTTAATCATGATGTTTCTAGAAAGCTGTTAGCACAAAGCACATATCCTGAAACCATTTGCCTCAGCTCTAATCAGCAAATAAAATAAATGATAGTTGGAAAAGATCACCAATAAACCTTTCTGGTTTTGCTTTATTTTCAAGCTTAAAGAGAATAAAGCAAAAGTGATGCATTTGTTTAAATAGTAATAGTAGCCATCATTTAGAACTCTGTATTAAATAGCTAATGTCCAGTCATTTATTAACAAATTAACAGATTAAATTCTGTTTTAAATTTAATGGCTGATTTTTGCCTCTTTTACAATGTGTCAGTTACTCACTGTTCTTAAGGCCATTTACTGATGTTTTAAAAACTGCTTATTTGATCGATTAGGAATAGCCAGTGAAGACAGGAAACAAACCACAGGAAATTAGTGGGCTAATTTCCCAGCAGACATTACTTGTGACTCGTGTGCTATATTGAAGTGGTCACAATGGTTTCTAGATAGTGGATGGTAAATGATTTTGTAATGTTGTTACTTGGAATAGCCTGAAGTTTGCAATCTTGTGTTAGTGCTGTGACCACCACCACCACCCTACCCTTATCAATATTTTTCAACTAGTTCATGTAGGAACTTACAGGACCCAACAGATTCCACTGTGCCCTTCGATAAGCAGAAGCTTTTTAAATGCATTTTGGGTATGTTTGTGAAAACATCACATTGCTATGTTAAAATACATACCTATTTGGCAATGGTAGGAACCTTTCACTGTTTGTAGTTTGACTTGATAATGACCGAATCATTCAGGCCATGCTTCAAAAACTGCATTAATTGCTGCATACAGAATGAAAATTGAAACCATATTACTTTAGAAATGATACTATTAGCAGCACATTAGGTTTTGTTATAAACTTAACTGTCTAAAAAAACCATTTTTTTAATTTTAGTTGAAATTGCTTTTCTCTAATATTCACCTTATTTACTTCTGAAACACAAAACTTAAAATTTAATCAGTCTGTAATTACCATAAAATAGTAATAATATAATAAAGAAAACACTATCATTGAAAATAGGGAGATAGCATAACTTAATAAAGTTAATAAGGTATAGATCATTTATAATACATTGGAAATAAAATTTGTTGTATATGCAAATAAATTGATTCAAGTAGATCTGCAAGTCTTTATGGCAATATACAAACTACAGTATAAACCATGTAACATTGGCAATATGAGCTTAAATACCTCCAGTGTCCTCAAGTATTTCAAGTAACTAAGAAGACAGCATCATTTTAAGTCAAGGCGAAGGCATCATTTAAGCAGTTTACTCAAGGTTCTAAAAGCAAAGTGTCACCATGAAACAGGTTTCACTTTTCATATTCAGATAATCAAGTTTTAACTAAAATACAGGATCATTTATATATTGAAATCAAGGAATACTCACAGTTCAGACTCTCTTGAAGTAAAAGGAGCTGAACGCCAAACTTGCCTAGACACAGACTTATCTTGATGTGTCAGCTAAGTTCCTCCATCCGGTCATGGTCTAATTGGTTGGGGTTTTCTTTTTTATATTCGAGTGTGGTAATAGTTTTTTTTTTCCTTTTCTTTCTTTTTTCAATATGACAACCCTCAGACTTCTTGTGGAAA